AGCTCCCCCAAACCCCTCCGTCCAGACCCCCCCCAGCCCCGTCCCCGGGTCCCACATTTGCCCCCCACCCGCACCCCCAGGTGAGCACCCCTGCCCCCTTCACCCCCCGCTCCTGTCAGCCCCATTTAGACTTTTGTCTGGATTCGATAAAGCGGTCCCAGCCGCTCCCCGCACAGCCTGGGTGGGGGGGGGGGGGTCAGTGCCTACTAGGGACCCCCCTTCCCAGTCCAGGAGCCCGAGGCCCCGCTGCGCACCTCCCCTCTGGGTGACCCCTCGAAGCCCCTCCCTCGGGTGGAAGCCCTCGCTGCCTGCCCTGCGTCTGGAGTTACTCGGTCGGCTCAGTGGGAGATGCTGCCCAGAAGGCAGACATCGTCACTCCCCGTGCCCCTCCCCACACCCCACCTGTGGGTCCCTGAGGGGCCCCCGGTCAGTCAGGCTCCTGGGGCCTTCGCCCCGCGCAGCTCCCTCCGTCCAGCAGGGAACCCTGAGGGCCAGGCTGGACGCCCTGGAGCCGCGGCGCCCTCCCCACCCAGATTCCCGCCGTCATCTCCCACCAGAACGGGTCAGGCCAGGGGGCCCCCGCCCCCCCCAAATGCCCACCTGCTGGGGTCTCAGTGCACACAGCCCCTCCCTCCCTCCCACTCCCCTCCGCGCCCGCCCCGCCTCTACCTGAGCCCTGCACCCGGCGACAGCCCCTCTTCTCCCGGGACACCCACTCTCCAGGCAGCTGGCCTGGGCACCCCAACCCCGACCTCGGGAGGGGTGCCCTCCCCCTCCTCCTCGTCCACTCCCCCTCCCCCAACCACCACACTTAGAAGAACGTGAGAGACTCGAGCTAATGGTTTCCTCCACCTTCTGGGGACACTCAGCAGGTATATCCTGCCGCCCGTGTGTGCGAAGGGAGAAACCAGCTTGTTTTTTCCTGTTATCCTCCTACTGGCCCCACAGTTTCTCAGACGCCCCTGAACTCAGGTTGAGGGGCGCCCCCACACAGCACTTCTGCCATCTCAGTACAACTGGAGCGCCAGGTGTCCTGGGGGAGAGGAAGGCCCGCAGGGAGCACCTCAGTGTTAGGGCGCTGACTGCTCCTGGGTCCACACCTCGAGCCCCTTGTGTGTCACTGGGGCCGGCGGAGAGGTGCGGGGAGGGGGGGACCCCGGGACCCATGAGCAGTGAGTGTGTGCTGGTGCTGTGGGCAGGTGGCTTGCGGTGAGGGAACGGTGAGGGTCAGAGCCAGCCACGCCGACCTGAGAAGCAGATTGAGAAGATCCATTTATGAGCTCCTCGTTCGGGACCTCGGAGGAGGAAGCGTACACTTTCACGGCCTGGTTCCACGCACAGTAATGTGTGGGGTGGGCTTATAGAGGTCGCCTCCATCTGCAGGGTCATCTCAGCCTGGCTGCTTCGGCCCAGTTATTACCACCAGGGGCAAGGCGTCCGCCTAGGGGTTGCCTCCCAGGACAATGCAGCTGTACACGCAAGATCCTCATCGTAAATTGAGGATCTCAGCGGTATTAAGGAAAAATGTCTCCAGAGCAACTGGCCCCGACTCCAGAATTAGGAGATTAGAGGATGTGGCTCCAGCTCTTTCTCTCTAGTGCTACACACACTGAGCATCACTCAGAGAATTAGAGAATAACTTGTTTTATAGTTTAAAAAATCCTTTCAAGAAAGACAGGGCAAATGGCATAATGCCCACACACTAAGAGGCGACATGGCACATGCATTCTCTCCACAGTGTTTATTGAACACCTGCTACCCAGCAGACACCGTCTGAAGCGCTGTATTCCAAGCATCTACATTTGTGAAGTTTGCTTTCTAAAGACAGGACCAGATAATAAATAAATAGATAGATGATAGATAGATAGATGATAGATAGTTAAATATATTGATTGATTGATTGATTGATATGTCAGTTAGATGTTGTTTAGTGCTGTGGAGAAGGGAAGGGATAAGGAAGGTGGGAGGCGTTGGGCAGAGGGTGACATGAAATTGGAAATCAGGAAAGTTTTCATAGGAAGGGGTGATGTTTTACCAAAGTCTTGAAGGAAATGAGGTGCATGAATCTACTGTATTATCCAGAACTCTCACTTAAGCAGAATGCCTGCATCTCTTGAGGGCAATGCTCGTTGGTATTCACAATTTGGCTTTCACTGCTCTAAAACAACGGTTCCCAAACCTTATTGGGCTTAAAATATCACCCAGTGACTTTCAGCAGATGCAGGGTGGATGGGGGCTCTGGGTTTCCTTGGACCACTCTTAAAGAAACATTGCTCTAAAATAAACCAAAGAGTCCTCTAGAATGACAACAATAACAGAATGAAAGATTAAATTATAGTCCCTGTGGTTTTAGTGTTGAGAGTATGTCACTGTGTTCTCATTCTTTGAAAATGCAATACTCAAGCAAAACCCTGGATTACCCAGAACATCCATTTCTTGTCCAAGCAGGAGAAGGGAAAATTTATCATAAGCTGGTGAGGAGCCAAACATTTATAATCAGTCTGTTTTCACCCTTCCTCCTTTTTGCTGCCCTAATTTTTAAAATATTTTTTCCTTTCCCCAAATTTCTGGACTCGACCAGCAGGTGAACGGCTGGGGTAATGAGAGCACTTGACCAAGAGTCAAAAGATGCACAGGTGGGTCCTGGAACCACCACAGCTTCTGGTTGAGTCCAGGGACGCGCCACTCAGCCATCTGAGCGTCCGTTCCCTCTGAGTCCTGCAGGACTCGAGTGAGGTCACGTGCACGAACGCACCTTGGAACCTCTGAGGCACCGTGGAAAGGGAAGGCGGCTCTGACTGCACCCGCAGAGCCAGTTAATTGGTCCAGTTCAAGTTGAAGACAGTGTGGTACTGGCATAAAGACACAACATAGATATTAGAATAGAATAGAAGCGAGAGTCCAAAAATAATCCAGCCTCTTCGACAAATGGCGCTGGGATAACTGGATTCCATATGCAAAAGAACGAAATTGTGCCTCCACCTCACAGCACATACAGGCACCAGCTCAAAATGGGTCAAAGGTCTCAGTGTAAGAGCTAAAACTATACGAAGAAAGGGAGATCAATGGGACATCATTAAAATTAAAAACTTCGGTGCTTCGAAGGGCACTATGAAGAAAGTAAAAAACAGCCCACAGGACAGAAGGAACATTTTGCCAAGCATATATTTGATAAGGGACTTGTATCTAGAAGATATAAAGAAGTTGTAAAACTCAATAATAAAAAAGATAAATTATCCGATTGAAAATGGGCAAAGGAGCTCAAAAGACAGTTTTGCAAAGAAGATACATAAATGGCCAAGAAGCGCATGAAAAAATGCTCAGCATTATTAACCATAAAGAGTGCAAATCAAAACACAGTGACATCCCAGTCTCCACCCACTGGGATGACTGTGTTATAATAAAAAAGACAGATAATTACAAATGCTGGTAAGGGTGTGGGGAAACCGGAACCTTCCTACATGGCTGGTGGGATGTAAATGGCGCAGCACGATGGGAGCCAGCCTGGAACAGAGGTCCTCGAAAGGGTAAACAGAATCACCACAAGCCTGGCAACTCCACTCCTCGTCTCTACTCCAGAGAAATGGAAACATATGTCCACGCGAAAACTTGTACTTGAAGGTTCACAGCAGCATTATTCATAACAGCCAAAATGTGGAAACACCCACATGTACATCAG